AAGTATGGTCTCAAGTTGCATCCATCTTCCTATAAAAGCCTCATTTATCTTTCTTTATAGCCAAGTAGTGCTCCATTGTAGAAAAATGCCACATCTTTTTTATCCATTCCTTGGTTGATGGGCATTTGGGTTGTTTCCAAGTTTCAGTTATTACAAATTGTGCTGTTATAAACATGGGTGCACATATATCACTGCGGTATGATGTTCTCAGTTCTTCTGGAAAATATCCAGAGAGGGAAGTGCTGGGTTGAATGGGACCTCTACTGCTAGCTTTTTGAGGAATCGCCACATTCATTTCCACAATGATTGCATCAGTCTATACTCTCCCCAACAGTGGAGAATACTTCATTTTTCCCTACAGGCCAGTCAGCATTTCTTATTGGATAATTTTTTTTATGATATGTTTCTGAAGATAGAATCTTACTGTTTTAATTTGCACTTCTCAAATAATCAATCATGTTTAACATTTTTTCATATATTTATTTGCCATTTGTGTCTCTTCATCTGAGGAGTGTGTATTCATTTGGTCTTATTTCCCTAGTGCTGTCTCATCCATTTCTCATATCCATTCCCTTAACTCACTGGGATGGACCACATTGTGTCCCTTCACTCTCCAAATGCATGTACCAAAACCCCCAAACCCAAACCCCATTGGGGTAGTTTTGCCTAAGGGAGCTTTGGAGGAGAATTAAGTTTAGATGAAACCATGAGGGTGTAATAGGGTTAGTGCCCCTGTAAGATTTGGCACAGAACTTTTCCTCTCCATGGTTTGTGAAATAACCACAAGAAAACCACCACTTACAAACCACGAAGATGACCCTCACCAGAAACTGTGACCAGGTTAGAATCTCAACCTTGGACTTGCTACCTCCAAAACCATGAGAAGACGCGTTACTGTTGTTTGATACACCCCGTCTCTGGTAGTTTGTTCAGAAAACAACTAAGACAGTATTTATTCTGAGTATATCACAGCCTGTTGTTACTACTATTAAATGAGAGAAGTGAAGTATAGGGAGGGCTTTCTTGTGGAATTTTTTATTTGGGTTTATTTTTTATCAGTATGCTCTGTTGTTTCTTATGAGATGGTCACGGGTTTATGTGAATTTGACCCAAATTCTAATTTAGAACCTACTACTTACTAATTGTATGACTCCAAGCAAATTCCTTAAGTTTTCATTTAATGTTTTCACTGGCAGAGAAAAGTTAATATCACCTATGATGAAGGTGAAGGATTGGTTTACATACGGCAAAATCATAGCATTGTACTTGAGACTTCAAATGTATGATGGTCATAGATTTGTATCTTTTTGATATTGTCTCTACTCCAGAGTCACACTCAATATAGTACCCTATTGGGCCTATACTCTTTAGTTAGGCTACTGGGATTAAAACTCCAGTTCTGCTGTCAATGTCTTGTGAGCCTGAGAAAATTTTGTAGTTATTCTGTGCCCCTGTAGTGCATAAAAGTATTACCTTATTATGTCATCGTGAGAACTATATAAGAATAAACACTAGAGTTTGGCAAACTACAGGCTAAGCAGCTTGCTATGTTTTTCAATTTAAGTTTTTTCAATTCAAATTTTATTGGAACACAATTGCAATTTATTTAGGTATTGTCTAAGACTGCTTTGTCATTACAACTAACGAAGTAAGAATTTACAACAGAGACCATCAAACATACAAATTTGGAAACATAAACTACCTGTCCCCATACAGAAAAGCTTTACAGATCACTGATATGAGATGGCATTTTTAAATGACACATACAATGTAAAATTTCAAGCAATAACACATCTTTTTTTTTAATTTTGAAAAAGCCTAATTCAATGTGCTCAAAATTTTATGAGAAAAAGTCCGTGCTGAAAAGCTGAAGAGTCTGTGCTAGAAGCCTAGACATGGATTTCTGAAGGTGACAGTGAAGACTGGAGCTCCTCCAAGGAAACAGAAGTGGGATCTTCTTCTTCCCATTTTAATTCCATCCAAGCTACTACCCTCTCGGGTGGTACCACCCATACCCAGGTGGGTCTTGCACCTTCAGTCAGTCAGTCATCCAGATACACCCAGAACTGTGCTAAGTCAATCAGCTAGACATTTCCTATTCAAATTAACATCATGGTTAACTATAACACTTCTCTCAGCTGCCTGAACCTTTATAAGCTAGAGAATGTCTCAAGAAGAAAAGTAAGGTAAGATGTCAGAGTGAAGTTTTCTTTTTCTGTGAAACTATGGCATATCAAATTATGCCTTATTAGCCTAACATGAATTCTGTCTCTTCAAACCTTAAGGCTGCTAAAAAAATGTGTTACTTGGTATCTCACCTTTTTACTCATGACAATTATAAACTAGTAAGTGTTTTGAAGAACAAAGCAGCATAGAAATGGCATACCTCATTCAGGGTATTTCCTTTTTCTTTTGAGTCTTAGTCTCTTAATTCATGGCTCACTTGGAAGTTCTCAAACTCTTTAAAACACACTGCTGTTACTGTATTTTGTTGAGCTTCTCTAATAACTCTAGGAATGAGAAACTGTTTGGAAGACTTAAAATGGTGGAATAAAGACAAAGTACAGCTCCTCCTGGATCCAGAATTGAGACACCTACCAAACAAAAACTGAATGAAGAATAAAAAGTAGCTCTCTGGGAATCAGAAGGGCAGTGAGAGGAAAACTAGAAACTATAGAGAAGCTGGAGACATGGAGAAGAATACAGGGAAAAGAATAAGGCAGTTTGGAAAGTTACCCTAAGTCCCGTAAAGGAGGACCTAGCTCTACTAACACAAGGCAAGCCAGGAGAAACTTTCAACTCCAGGAATAAGCAGCAACAGAAAGTCCATGATTGTTGAAAACCACAAAAAATAGTAGGCAGCTTTACTCGAAAAGTGACTCCTTCTGCATGCTGGGCTAACAGTGCATTATCTTCTATGCTGGAGAGTATTTAATTGCAAGTTATTTTGGAAAGGTGTTAATGTTTAAGACTGAACTACAGAACAACTACACCTGAGGGTTTCTGAGACCACTTAAGCAAGTGACTGGGTGGGAGATGGCCCAGGAGCTAGTCACACAGAGGAGGTGGGCTGTACGTAGACTTCTTGAGAAATTTGAGGATATTGAGTGAGTTCTAACTCAGGCTATAGTTCACTCAGGCTTGCAAGGACCAAGTGGTGCTACTCTGAGTTGAGAAGCCAGGCCTGTTATATGTGTCTTGTAAAGGAGGCTGGTTCTGAAAGTGCCAGCATGAAGGCCAACAGACTGTTTGAACCATTGACCCGCTGCCTACATCCAACACAGAGCTCAGAGATCCGCCTGCTTTTCCCATATCTTCATGGGGCACTGACAGAGAAGAATCCAAGATCAAATAGCAGAATTAAGAAAAGCCAAGAAACAAAGAAGTTATATTTTAGGTGAGCTCAAAGATAATATAACTAACAGATAATAGATTTAATAAATCCCATGATCAGTGAGCTTACACTCACTGATACAAATGATAAACTAGAGGAGCTGAACAAGACAAAATATAACTTGAACATTTATCAAAGAACTAAGAGTCTTTGAAAAGATATTAGACAAAAATCCAAGTGATAAAACTTCTGTTGAAGCAATGTAAGTGACCCACGAGAAGATGATATCAGCACTAGAAGGTGAGTCTAACGCAGGCGACCATATACTCAGGAATCCCTTAAAAACAAGAGAACATGGAAAGTGGATCCAAGACACAAAGAAGACTAATCTAATATTAATTGGAATTAGTGAAAAATCAGAATTTAGTACAAAAGGCATGAAAAACTGGTTTACAGAAATAATGACAGGAAACTTTCCAGGTATAGGGAAGGAATTTAACACAGAAAGATGTGAGGCACACAGAACATCAAATAGGCATAATCAGAAAATAACGTCCCCAACACATGCCATAGTCAAAAGTCCAGATATTCAACACAAGAAAAGACTCTTAAAAGCTATTAGAGAAAAAGCAAACAACCACATATAAAGGTAAACCCATTAGAGTTACAGCAGACTTTTCAATACAAACCTCAAAGGCCAGGAAAGCTTAGAGAAAAATGCTTTAAGGCCTAAAAGAAAATGACTTCCAACCCAAAATAATATATCCTGCTTAAATGTCTTACAAAACAAATGGATAAATAGTCTTTTCATGACAAACAGCATCTTAAGAAATTCATGACCACTAAGCCAGCACTCAAAAAATTCTCAAGGATAACTTAGAAAAAACAATGGTGCCAAATAGTCTAACAGAATGAATACATCAGGTAGGATGAGCAGTTAGACAGAAGAGAGAGAAATTAGTCAGCACAAAAATGTAATACAGTGATAGGAATAAGCCAACACTTTACAGTAACGGCTGTCAGTGTGAAGTCTCTACATCCCAATCAAAAGGCAGATTGGCAGATTAGATTAAAAAATGAGATAAAATTATGTACCGCATATTAGAGACATTTTATCTAAAAAGAAATTCACATAGACTAAAAATCAATGGATGGAAAACAATATCCCATGCACTAGGACCCAAAACAAGCAAGAGGAGGTATGCTATTTTCAGACAAAATAACCTCAAGTTAAAACTAATCATAAGAGGCATAGAATGTCACCATATGCTAGTTAAGGGAACGAACCAACAGGAAGAGATAACAGTAATAAATATAAAAGCTTTGAATACTTCATCTGGGAAATCAGTGTGGAGATTCCTCAAAAAGTTAGACTAGAGGTCCCATTCAACCTAGCTACTCTTCTTCTGGGTATTTTCCTAGAAGAATTAAAAATACCATGCCACCGTGACATATGTGCACTTATGGTTATAGCAGCACAATTTGTAATAACTAAGTCTTGGAAACAACCCAAATGCCCATAAACTATGAAATGGATAAAAAAATATGTGTTATTTTTATGTAATGGAGTATCACTCAGCTATAAGGAAGGATAAATTTGAGGCTTTTATAGGTAAATGGATGCAACTTGAGACCATACTCATATGTGAATAAATAAATCAGCCTGGCATGTGTAAATATCATACTGTTTCCCTAGTGTTAAAAACTGAAAGAGTGAATAAGATCCAAAACGTGCAATAGACACATGAAATTTAAAGGGAAAGAAACTGCTCCAAGGGTAAGAACAACTGGGATACGGAAAGGAGAAAAGAAAGAAGGAATGAAAATGTGTGTGTGTGTGTGTGCATGTGTGTGTGTGTGTGTGTGTGTGTGTGTGTGATAACTATACTACTAATCTGTTCACTGAAAAGAACAATTGTTTTCATTGTTTGATCATTTGATCACTTTTTCTTGACTATATATTGTAATCTGAACAACTACTTTGAAGACAATGTGAAATACATTATCCAGTGTTAATCTCCTATTATTTAGTTTTGAATGTCTGTATCATCATTTTTATTCTTCTTTGTTATTGTTTTTCAAGAAAAAACACTACTAGACATAATAGAGATAAGCATCAATAAAATTATAATTAGGGACCTCCGTACCCTGCTATAAAAAGAAGACTAACTATATAAAAAAAAGTAGTATCAAAAGTATCAAAATTGAACCACATCTTTTTAAATAAAAGTGCAAGAAATTTATTTCTATTACATGCCTGCCTGCTTTGCATGGGTTGTTGATACAGAAGTCTGTTTTCAAGGGTGGTTGGTTCTCATCACTTCCTCTGCTTAACATCTCCACTACAGTCACCATCACCCTGTGTTTATTGGTCTTTCACTATGCTGCATCCACAGTGACACAGGTCACAACAGTCGTTGATCTAAGAGGCAACATGGGAACAAAGAGAGGGAGGGAAAACTGTGAATGAGTAGAAGGGACCAGATGTGAAGTGATGACAACCTTCCATTCCAGAAAGGGCTGTGAGAGGGAGAATCTGAAAAGGTGAGCTGTAAGCAGCCTGGGTGGAAGCTCCTAGCTAACACTGTGGTCTGTGTAGCAGTGAGGGTTAGGCTTGAGAACACTGAAGAGCTAAGTTAGTGTGATGGGGAGACTTAGAGCTCACAGACACCTCCGTGTAGAACATCAGTCTGCTGGCATGGTGGTGCAGCCTCAGAGGCCAAGGCAGTAGGATCACAAGCTCGAGGCCAGCTTGTATAACTTGGTGAAGCTGTGTCTCAAAATAAAATAAGAGGTCAGGATGTAGCTCAGTGGCAGATCACTTTCTTGGATACATGAAGATCTGAGTTCATCTGCCAGCACTGAAAAAAAAATACCCTGAGAACTCTTCCCACCAAGTGTTCTGGTCTTCTCAGAGTACACTGTTCTTACCACAAAACCACACTTTAGTTTCCTACAAGCTCCCCCAGAAGCCCTGGGAAGAAGCAAAATCCACACAGCTTTCCCTAGCCAGTAGGTTCTCTATTGCTTAGCAGAGAGGCAGGATGGTTACTTGGTTTCCCAGCTTTGTAAGTTCCAACATGGCGCAGATCTCAGGAGACATTGGTGGCTCTCCCCCTAGAAGGGCCACAGTCTGCTACATCACTACCACTTACCAGGGAGGCAAGCTTCTTGCTTGGTTTCCCAACATCCTAAGTTCCAACATAATGCGTATCTCAGGAGCTGCTGGTGGTTCTCCCCCTGGAAGGGCCTCAGTCTGCCACACTGCTGCCACTTACCAGGGAGGGGAGGTGCTTGCTTGACTTCCAGCATCCTAAGTTCAACATGGTGAGGATCTCAGGAGCTGCAGGTGGTTCTCCCCTTGGAAGGGCTGCAGTCTTTTTTCTGGTTTTCAAGACAAAGTCTACCAAATGACTAAGTCTGAAAAACAATAGTCATTAGATAACCTTTCAAGTCAAAAATGGTATTTCATGAAAATGGTAGCTAAATCAGCTTCCAACAATCCCTAAAGTGTTTTGGTATCCAACAGAAATGCTTTAGCCGTTGTTTCAATCTTATCCCCATAATGTACAAAGATACATTCTTCAGAATCAAAAGTTAACTAACACTTACAAAAATTATTGAACTAAAATTTGGACACCACATAACCTAAAATATAAGATTGTAACAGATGTTAGCACACTGACAGAGTTGCACAACTTTAACTACAGTCAAGTTTAGGAGACTTTTGTTAGCCTGAATCCAAATACTCTGCCTGCTCTCTCATTTCCCAATCCCTCCCTAGCTCAATCTAGGTAATCACTGAGGACTCTGTGTCTTCATAGGTGAGTTAATGGAAACTTTTTATATCTCATCAAAAATTCTTAAACAAATTTGGTATATATACATGTGCATATTCATTCAGATACATGACAAATCCTCATCCATGAAGATTTCTTGTAAATTTTCCCATTTGCCAATGTTTATCTGTAACCCCAAATTATTTATTGCACTTTGGCAGTCCAGGACACATTCAGGACACAGAACTTTCACTTGTATCCATCCCAGGTAGGGTGAGGTGAGTCCCTACAGACTGCTTCAAATCCTAAAGTATATACAAGTGACCATTTTCAAGCCTCTTTAGTTCCATGCTTTGGTACTTTTATGAGTCTTGTGAATGTTTTGCTGTATAAAATCCCTCTACACATAGTAATGAAGTGCTGTCTTACATTGCTAGACAGAAAAAAATGTGTCTTGGCTAACTTTACTTCAAGCTTAGCGATTATAAAGTTTTGACAGTAAATCAACAATCTATTTTAAATAAGATGTTTTTAAACAGAAAGCTACATCAAACAAGGTCACACTGTGAATGATTGATGAAACCTTAACTGGAGCCTCAAAAGATTCTTCTCTGGCATTTCCCTAAGAGATGTGGTTCAGAATTCACTAATCCAAAATTTGCAATGAGTTCACAGAATATAACTGCTAAGAAAAAAGAGCATCAATTATGCTTACACATATATCCATATCTACATGTGTATATGCATACATATATGTAAATAATTGTGTTTGCAGGTAAATAATTCAGTGTTTACTAACAGAGTTTACTTCTACTGCTTTGATTTCCTCAAAACACTGGTACTTTAATCTATTATTGCTTTTGCATTAGCAGCACAAACATCACACACTGTAGAAAATAACATCTCAATATTATTCAAGTGTGACAATACTGAGGCTATCCTTCCAGGGTTAAAAAATAGTTTCAATGTCTAACATACCAATTGTATTTAGTTTCTGCCTTGAGCTAATTTCATTATGTTTCTGTGTGTTATTCATTCATGGAAGTAGTATTTCAAATGTTTTGAAGTATCGTCTTCTCAGGACTTTAATTAGCTACAAATATACATAGAAGCAAAAGCATGCCTTGTTTTTCATTTCCTGGTCATTTTTAGTTAATGTCTTTAATTAACTGCTCTTACATTATCTCTAAATTAATTCCATCAAGATAGAAATTAAGTAGCTTGTAGATTGTCCATTTACACATCTTAAAGTAGAATGCGATAATATTCAAACCATGACTCAAGGGAGTTATAAATAGAAGAGATAAACTTGGTTTGAGATGCTGCCAAAATAAAAGGAAAAAGGGATCTTCTTTATTTTTAAATTACAGATATTACAGCCTATATGGAGGAATATACAAATGCATTACTCATACTGCTTTCCTGTCTAAAACATAATTGGATAGAAGGAAAAGAAAATGACTGTAATTCCAAATGAAAGAAAAAGAGATCTGAGTAGATAAAAGGAGATAAATTTGAAATGAGCGTTAATAGTGAAAAAAATTGATAAATGATTAACTGATACATGTCAGAAGGCATTTTACATAGAATTCCATCTTGCAATGGATCCGACCTCTCCATCCTGACGAAGTCTCTTCTCTTACCTCCTTTGTCATGTCCTAGCCACACGACAAGATTATTAAAGGTAAGATTTCCTCCTTCGAGAGATGATGCTTCAAGAAACTAGGCTAATCTGGTAAAGTCCTTCTTAGGGCCCACAGGGTGCTTCTCAATCACCCAGACTGTACAAAAAGTACTCATGACCTGAAAGGAAATAGAAATCCTCTCTGCCAATTCTTCTACACTCACTATAGGGCAGATAGTAATAGAATTTTCTCTCCATAGAGAGAAGAAAGGAAAAGCAGGGAATCATTTTCGCCTTGCCTCTCAAGCACAGTTTTGGAGTTTCTGACTGCGAGAATAAAACTCGGCTGGACTCAGCGTTGAGTTAGGAAAGCATAAAGGACCCTGTGAGCAGATGCCCCACAGGCACCATTGTTTCTCTCTGAGTGTTCTATAAATCCCTTCAGCTATGTTCTGTCAATGTTTTCTCATAATCAGAGGAAGGTGGGAGAGTCTCAGCCCACTGTAGAGGCAGGAGAGCAGTCACCCCACTCCTGAAACTGAACGGCAACTGTAGTGGGGTACACGGCAGAGAAGTGGAGAGCCCACTGTCCTGGGAATGCCTTCAGTGTCCCCTGCGACAGAGATGGCAGCTGAGGGGTGAGGCCACTTTGCAAGAACCTAAAGACCCAGAAAAAGGTAAAGGCATTCCCAGAAGAAATGGTTCTAGCAGGAAGGCAGCTGGCCATCATGTCTTAATCTCCTGCATAGCTCTAGGGTCAGTAAGCCAAAAGAATACTTTGTACTGGATATTCGTATCTGTGTTTCTTACCAATTATCTTCTCATTGTGGTTTTACTGGGTTTTCTCTGGAATTAGGAAATGACGCAGGAAATTCAAGTCTCTCATTTGTTAAAACAAATTCCCTTGTTTGGTTTGCTGTTCTGTTCCTAAGGCATGCTTCCTTTAGTATCTTAGCTTTGTTCTTTTTCTACTCATTTTGCTAGAGACAGGATCAGTTGAGCCCAGTGTGGAAACATACAGCCAGGTGTGTGTTAGTGTCTTTATTGCTCCCACTTTGAAACTGGTTAATAGCCTTTATCAGCAAATAAAACTTCAAACAGTACACAAGTAAAGTGATTCAGAAAGCCATAAAAAGTCAGGGAAAAAAAGCTGGATGAACTCCAAAAAAAGTTCAGCTCTAGGTCTACACTGATCTCCATAGTAAATATAGAAACCTAACATGTTTATTGGCCTTCTTTTGATTATAAGTCAAAATTATTACACTGTTTTCACATCTATACATACCTTCTTAGTTCAGCCCTTCCAGAAAAACACTCAAACAAAAGTATTTTTAAAGATAAAGAGGCAAAACTGTATTCAGATTATACACTTATTAAAGTATAAGTTTTCTAGGGCTCATTTGACATTACGCCATATGCATAAATAAGCAGAATCTTAAAAGCTAAACTTCGGTTTTGTAAAATATCCATCTATCTTTTGTTCAATAAAGGAAGTCAGCATCTCTGAGAAAGCTATGTTATAGAGTACTCTTTCAGAAGATAACCAGCTGGTTAAAAATAAATAAATAAACCACTAATAAATAAACACAGAGGCTCAACCCTATAAGGTAACTCCATATTAACCTGCATTTCTGCGCCTAGAAGCAGTAAAGTTGAAATAATTGGAATCACTCACTCTGAACAAGAAGACCTGAGATCATGATTTTTACTCATTAAATATTGTGAAGTTGTCAGATGGAAAAGAATTTATACTTACTGTAGGTAGGCCTAAAAGAGAAAATTTGTACACTACTGGGGAAAAAATCTATAGGAAGGAAATATTATGGGTAAAAACAATTTTGAACATTATTATTAAAAAAAAAGAAAACTATGTGATTTTGGAATGAGAGCACCGTGTCCAAGAGATGAAAAAGGAAAGTGTTTGACACCGCTCAGGACCTCAGATGGTAGACAAGGAAGCCAGTGATGCATGTGTGTGTGTGTGTGCACATGTGTGTGCATGTGTGTGTACACACCCACATGTGCATGCTGTAGAAAGGTGACCTAATGGTTAAGGAAAGCTCCCAAGTGAAAAAGTAAATAGAAGTAAAATGAATTAAAGAGAACATGCTAGGTATAGCAAAGGAGCAAAGGCCAAAAGCCCTCCATATTGGAGTTCCTATAAAAATACAAAAAATCAACTATCAATTTTAAATGTGGAACAGAACTATTGTATGAAATTATAAAACCCCCAAAACTATCTAGACGTCAGGCTAAATGTGAATTATCCATGAAGCATGTTCTTTATGTCTCACTTATTATACTGTTGGAGAAATAATTTTAATACAACAGGAAAGTGAGACATAATATGTTTCATGGATAATTCTTGGAGCTCACCTTTAATGGAACCAGACAAGGGGAAACCTAAACTTTTGTGACACGAGCACCTTCAGACATTAGGGGAAAACAGTTTCTGAATGCACCCTTTTGGACATGAACCCATCAACATTAAGAGTCAGTTGTCACTTGCTGACGTCGCAGCTCCTGGTAGGGAACCTGACCCTATGAGCTTCGTACTTCTGTGCTCCCTTCTTGAAGTCCACTATCCATCAGTACAAACTCTCACCTATGCAGTAGCTAAGGGCTTGAGACTATGAATCTGGATCACGTGTTTTTAAGGCAGGAAAGCAGAAAGAGGTAGTTCAGTATTTTGGTTTAAAAGGAAAACTTTTCACACACATTCCTTTTCAGGAGCATCTTAGTTCCATGCTAGTAATACACAGTTATGGTAAGAATGTGGCAATGTACATTTGTTCATTCAGTGAACACTTGAGTATGTTTATGCCAGGCCATCTGCTAGATGGTCACTCATGGGAAAGGTCAGAATAAATACATGGCACAAAGCAGTGCACTGTTTGAAGAAAAAGACCACCCAGCGAAACCACATTTGAGGTAGGGGCGCAAGAAAACTTTTTTTGTGGGGAATATTTGGGAAAAACCATGAAGGAAATGAGAGGACCTTGGGGAAGAGAATGACT